CAAACCTCCTCTTCAATCAGAGGTGTTTTTTTAAAAAAAACTTCCAAATGGCTGGCAAATGGTTGCATCTGAACATTTTGAGAGATTTCTCTGTGACCTGATTTATTTTTTTTCCAACTGGTTAAAAAAGAATACTTTTTGACATGTAAAGAACTTATAATGAAGACGTTGAACCCAGTTCTTTGGGAACGACACATGCTAATAGCAGATCGTGGATACCAACCGGTTGAATGACATTAGCTATGACCTATATTTCGAGGCTGGTTGACCTCTGTTTTAGCTCTTTTTTGATTTTCAGTATTTTTAATTCCTGATTTTTAATTGGTCTTCCCATTTTCTTTCTTCCCTGTGGTCCTTAGCGCTTGGTCCCTGTGACACAGGGTGTTGCTGGGCCCCGGGGGATGCGGCTCCTGCTGCTTGGCTGTGCTCCTAAAGTAACCCGTTCTTAAGTGATTTGCGACTTCAGCGTCTTATGCTTGTCACTAGTGTTTTCTTTTCTTTTTGGTTTTAAAGATTCCATTTATTTATTCATGAGAGAGAGAGAGAGAGGCAGAGACACAGGCAGAGGGAGAAGCAGGCTCCATGCAGGGAGCCTGACGCAGGACTCGATCCCGGGTCTCCAGGATCAGGCCCTGGGCCAAAGGCAGCGCTAACCGCTGAGCCACCCAGGCTGCCCTCACTAGCGTTTTCAACCCTTTTTTACTGAGGTCTTTATGTAAGAGAATAATGATTATTTTTCATTTCTGCAGTGCAAGCTCATTATTCTAATATCTTCAAACCCATGGATCCAATAGACGTGGAAAAAGTAAAGCTAATGTTTCCAGACGCAGAACTTTCTTTCCTAATATGGGACCACAGCCGTTAGTCGAACCTCCTCCGTGTTTCCACCCTCGGAGAAGGTCAAACAAGCCACAGTCAGAGGGTGCAGCGTGTGTCACTCTCATGTTTATTAGTCATCAGCAAATTAGTGAACGTTCTGTGTCCTGAAACCTCTGGTTTTGTTCCATTAAGGTCTTCTCCCTGCAGTGGGGCCTCGCGGCCTTCCACGGTGGCAGGTGGCGAGGGGGGCAAGTGGTAGCAGGTCCTGTGGAGAGCTGCTTTATGTATTCCGGGACATGCCTAGTTTACAATACGTTTTCAGAAAATAACATGCCTTCTTGCCTTTTCTCTCCATTGTACCTGTCATCAGCTTTCGCATTCGTCCAAGGCAGCCGCGTAGTGGAGAAATTCAGGGACTGCCCACGTGCAGAGCCTGCTCTCCGGTGTTTCTTCCCCGACAGAGGAAAGCAACAACCAGGATCCGAGGGAGGCTTCACTTCTTGCTGATATTCGTGAATTTTAACACAACTTCAGACACACGGAGGGATGAATGACTGTGTGTTTCAGGCTCTGATTTAACCATTTGCGTAAACTGCTGGATATCTCATGGGAAAAGTTGAGTGTTTTTTTTTTTATTAAGATTTTATTTATTTATTCATGAGACACAGAGAGAGAGAGAGAGGCAGAGACACAGGCAGAGGGAGAAGCAGGCTCCATGCAGGGAGCCCGACGCGGGACTCGATCCCAGGACCCCAGGGTCACGCCCACTGAGCCACCCAGACATCCCGGGAAAAATTAAGGTTTAACTTTAATTCAGGTCTCTCCTATTCAGTTCACTGCAACCACGTGTCTGACATTAGTAGCTGTGTCGGGGGCGCAGGAGCGAGCACCCACCTTTCCCTGTACTCTCTGCTGGAACATTAGTGAGGCTGCGGCCTGGCGGCCAGAGCCACGGCCAGAGTTGGGGGTGCAGGTGGGGGCCCTACAGCTGAAGCCCAGTTCTTGCACTTAGCTCTGCGTCCCTTTCCCCATCCCTAACATCAGACGACAGCAGTACCCACCTCGCGCCCCAGGACGAGAGCCTTCAGCTGGGGCTTGGCACATAACCGTGGGCGACCAGCCGTAGCCGCGACAGCATTGCCCCCACGCCTTCCGGCACGAGCACCGATGTATCTAACAGGGAAGGTGGGCTGGAAGCTGTTCCACCACGGAGGCGTCAGGAGCGACCAGCTCCAACAGGAGCGCAGGGGGAGAGGGACGCAGAGCATGCGACGACCGGAGCTGTGCGTGCGGCAGGCGAACGCAGGTGCACGGAGCAGAGCCCGCCTTCCTCGTGCTGCCTCCGCGAGGATGAGCCCAGCCGCTCGCCGACGCCCCAGATCTATGAACTCTCACCACACAGTTAGTTATTCCTAGATTTCTCTGCACCCTTGAAACCTATTCTATTTATTTAACTGTCCCCCGGGAGCACGGTCGCCTTTGTCTCCGTGGCACAGCCAGTCGTGTAAAACTACTGCATCTGTCGGACTTCTCCGTGTGGCGCATAATTGCTTGATTTCCATTTGAAAGTGCGGCCCTGACATGACTACACAGACCCACCAGTGACAACAATGATGGCCCGACACCTCCGAGGGGCCGGGGTGCATAATGCTGCGCTAAATACGTGCACCAAATGCACACTTGCCTTCAGACGCACCAGCTCTGGGTTTACAGCTGCAGATGAAGGATTCCTCGGGAACAAAAAATTTAAACAAAAAAATAAAAATAAAAAAAAAAGAAGAATAAAGAACAAGAAACCAACAGATTAGCATCAGCGTGAGTCTGGTGGAGCCAGATGGCTCTCTGTGGCAATCGAGCTCTCCCGCTTTCTTCCAGTGACCCCGAGCAGCAGGCCGAGCCCGCTACGAGGGCACAGCAATGATCTCATTCCCCAGCCAGGCACGTGACTTGCCTTCTTTCTCTCACACGCACGCCAGCTGAAGGGAAGTTGGGAAAAAAGGGTCAGAAAGAGGGGGCGGCGAGTCTGGGTCGTGGAAAAGAATCAGCAGCGGTACCTAGAGGAGGGGTGAGGCCCCAGCGGCCGCCAGGCCCCAGCACAGGCTTGGATGGCCCTGGAGGAAGCCGCTGGATGAGGAAGGGGAAGGGGGGGGGACCCTGGCCACGGTCAGGCCCTCCATCCACATCCGCATCCCTGACTCTTGCTGTATGTGCTGGGGGCCGCGGAGGGCGGGCAGGGCTGGCGGGGAAGCCACACGACCAAGCCGGGCTCCGCTGGGCTAAGGACGGTGCGGCTGTTTGAGGAGCGGGCCCCGATGACTCTGTCACAGTCCTTGGCGGCCAGCGTGGCGCCGGAGCCAGGCCCTCATCTGCTTGCACACAAGCTGGCTGTGCTGGGGCTGGGGTCTGGGTGCAGGGGCTGAGGGGCCCGGCCTCCTGGGGTTCCCGGGGGAACGAACCTAAAGGTTGTGGGTGTGGGACATCCCCGTCCTTGGAGGTGCTCCCAGGTCCTCAGGCCTGGAGGGCGCTGGGCCTGGACTCGCGGTGCCTCCCCTGCTGGGGAAAGTGCGAGCAGTTCACAACCCAAAGTGCGTTCCTGGAGGGACAGGCAGGTGTCTGGCGATGGCCGTGCGGCCCCGGTGGGGCTGTAGGGGGTGCGGGCATCCCTGGCACCGGGGCTCGGAGGCTGCAGCACGGACGTGTGTCCCCGGAAGGATGCTGTCAAGGGCGCCAGGGCCCACCCGGCACGTCGGCAGCCTGGCTCCGTGTCCCCAGGCCCTGGAAGGGGGTCTCTGCCAGCACGTCCCCGGAGTGGACGGAAGGCTCCAGATGCAGGGCACACATTCATTTGCAGCCGGAAATCATTATTTCAGTCCTAACAAACCCGGGACAGAGTCCCCTGCACTTCCACCCGGGGCCGGGCACCTGCTTCACAACTTCGGGCAGTCGGAGCCCCACGGGGCCCCACGGCCGCATCCTGTTGGGCGGGGAGCGAAGCAAGCTGCCGGCCGGTGCCCAGGCGCCAGGTCCCGCTGTCCTCCTTCCGGAGACGACAGCAGGCCGCCCGGCCACACCGGTTTGCTCCACTGTCCCCACAATCCTACCCCCACGCGTGCTGGGGGCCCTGGGCTGCGCTCCTTCCCCCCACCTAAGGACCGTGGAGGACAGCCAGAGGGCAGGCCGCGAGAACTGGAAGCTGCATCGCGGCCCCGGGGCCCACGGGTGCAGGAAAACCCCTTAATAGGAGCATTAAGAAAAAGAAAAGAGATTCCTAGCGTTTGAAGAGGGTTTGCACCGCGAGGGTGACGCTCGTAGATGCTTCGTGTGTGTCACGACATTCCCCGGAGGCGGGCCCTGAATTAGCCCGATTTACAGGGGGGCCTCGGAGGCGAGAGATGTCCAGCGGCTTCCCCAAGCTCACCCCCGCTCCAGGCTACCCTGCGGCGCCCCACGCTGTCACCCGGAGCGGGACGTGTCCTGGGGGTGCCAGGGGCCCGGGGAAGTGCCCCCTGGGGGTGAGGGGCGGGCCTGGGTCGGTCCCCGGGATGCGGGGCGGGCCTCGAGGTGCCCACCCACCCTGCGGGCGTGGCCGGGGGAAGCGCGTGTAGTCCGTGTAGCCCGCAGGAGGCCGGGCCGGCTGTGCCCCGGGGGTCGTTGTCCGGGGTGCCAGGGCACAGCCTTGCAGACACCCCGAGAGCAAGCAGGCCTCGGTCAGGAGCCCCCGCCCCAACCCTGCCCCCGCGGTGTCACCTGGCCTCGTGGCTGGACCCGGGCCCACAGGATCCCCGGGGCTGGGAATGACAATGATTTCCTTGCACAGCCCCTGGTTACGCGGAGATTCATAACCGCGGGATGTGGGGCGCTCCCCCACCCCCCCCTCCCAGCCAACCCCTAACGTGACCCACAGCGTGGGGGGGGGCGGGGGTGCAAGTGGGCCCTGGAGCCTCGCCCACCCGGGAACCGCAGCGTGAGAGCTTGAGCGCCCTTTACCCCTGTCGGGGGGAAACAGAGGCCCCACGGCCCACCGATCACCCGTGGGAACAAACCGATCTCGGCCTCGGGGCGGGGCGGGGGGCTGGCGTTGAACCGAGAAGTAAAAGCACATTTTCCAGACTTGTCAGGATTGTGTTTGTTTCTAGACTTTTATTCTCAAAGGGACAACGGGGAAGACACCCAGCCTAGGAAATCTGCAGCTGAGACAGGACCTTGTGCCCGGAACACCGAGTTCGGGGACAGCGAAGCCCAGGGCGGGTGCCCCCGTGTCACAGCACCGCACAGAAACCAGACGGCCTGGCCCCGGGCCCATCAGGTGTCACCGTGCGCTGGTCGCCTGCCTCCGCAGAGTCCCCGCCCGCCACCGCCATCGCCACCGAGCTGCCGTCAGGGCTGCGCTCACCAGCAGCTGGAATGAGACGAGGAGGCGGGCAGGTGAGCCAAGCTTCACCGCGGCCTCTGCACTCAGGCCTCGTCACCTGAGCCCGGCCCCAGGCCCAAAGGCTCAGCACGGGCGCTCTGGGCCTCCTGTCCCACCTCCCGGCAGGAGCGTGTTCCTCGCCGAGGCTGAACTGCCCGTCCAGACCTCGGCCTCGTCACTCTTGTATTTCCTGTCCCCCCGTGGTGTCACCCTTTGGGTCACCTGCCAGGTCAGGTCTCTACCTGGACGTGACCCACAGCACAGCTCGAGCCTCCCGACTGTGCTGGCCCTGGGACTGTCTACGGGTCGGCACATCGGTACCACACAGGCCCAGGGTCACACCCAGGACGGCCACAGCTCACCATCGGCCCCTCGGGGCCTCGTCTGTCCTCGTCTGGCAAGTGAGGACACGAGGACTACACCTGCCTCCTCGGCTTCTTGTAACGAGTCAATGAGATGGTTTATATGAAGGGATTGATACAACGGTAACACTCGAGATGCGGGTTCTTAGTCTAAGTGTGGAAGGGAGCCCAGAGACCAGGCGGGGGGGGGGGGGGAAGCAGCCACCCAGGACCCGGAGCCAACGGAAACCAGAAGGCTGACGGAAGGCCCGGTCTCCCCCTCATCCCGCACTCCCTGCGGCTTCACTAGGAAAGGTTCGCATCTAAGGTTCTCAACTCCTGTATCATCCCGGTTCCTTTTCCTTTGTCTTTACACTAATCATTGTTCCTGACACATTAGAGCTCAGAGAGGTTCACATACTGGGGTTGTGGGTCTAGGCTTCTAGAAATCAGGAAACGCAGGGCGGCTTCTACCTTCAGCCTTCCGTTCGCGCTTCAGCCTCCTTCCCGAACCTGGATCAGTGACTAACCCTGTTCTCGGATCCTGAGACCATCTGCTAATGTGCTGGTGGGTAGGGAATAAGTGGGGATACACGTGTGCAAAAACTGGGGCTACGGGGCCTGCCCCAGGCTCTCCTCGTCTCTGGCCCAGGATGAGGTGAGGATTTGGGAAGAGACCCTGGAGCACACAAGGGAGGAGATGGTGGGGCCACTGGTAGCTCCGGGTGACGACTCACGCGGAGCATTCAGTCCACGTGTAAGCTGGGGCTAGTCTGGCAAGGAATCAGGCTCGGAAGACCCTCAAACGTGGCATTTTAAAGGGTATCCCCATTTAGTAGGGAGCGACAGAGGTGCAGATGTGAGCTACTCGGTCATCCCAGCTCGAGGGTACATCCTCCCCCCTCCCACCCTGCCTTGCAAAATACGGAATCACGCTCAGCACTCTTTTATGCCTTTTAGAAACAATTATTCGGATACGGCTGTTGTGGGTTGTGTGTTTGGCTAACCCTCTACAGGTTTCGTCATCCAAATACCCTCTCACCCTTCGCTCTGGATCACAGAGGCTACTGCGGTATAGCTTCTCCTTGAAATATAAGCACTGGAACCACTCTTACAGGAACTGAACTTTTCCAAAACAGAAAAATCTGCAAGATCAGTGATAAGGACATGTTTGAAAAGTCCGAGATCGGTTTTGTGGTGAGATCACGGCACACGGAGGGGAGGGGCTGACTACAGACAGAAACGCAGGGATCTCTGTTGAGAAGACAGGACTCCCCCCGCCCCACCCCGGAGGCGCCTGTCACTGCCCCTCAGCACCGTCAGCACTAAAGGGGCAACTGACCTCTCCTCATCCAGCGTCCCACGGTGCCTCAGTTTCTCCAGATGTAAGAGGCTTGCTACACGATACATCTACGTCCCCCTCAGCCCACAGGGGTGTTCTGAGACCCGGTAAGAGAAAACCCTCCGCGAGACAGAGCCGTGCACGCCAAGGTGTGTTTCGTGCCTTTGGAGGGGTACCCACAGCGGGGCCGGCCTGACAGAACACAAGCTGAACAAGAGGGGACTCCGACAAAGGAAGCCCTTTCCGTTAGCTGTCCACAGGCAGGCTCTGGGGTGAGGTGCCCCCGCTTCCAGAAAGCACCGGAATTTCTTTGCAGCGAAGACAACTCCTCTATTTTCTGGCTTTACCTCTCACAGAGAGTTTTGGGAGTAAACTCAACACCGGGAAAGAGCATCTCTCAGACCCTTTAGCCTCCCCGTTATTCAACACCTTCTCATGTTTTTCTTCCAGTTTCTCTTCTCAAAAAGTTTTCCATTTACTTTCCTCGCCCACCCTCCCCCGCCCCTGCTTCGTGTCTCTCGCTCCCACAGCAGGTTTTTCTCTCTTCTAACTAGGATCTTTTTTTTTTTTTTTTTTTTTTTTTTTTACTTTTCCGGCTTATGTCTTCTTAACTGCGGTCCTCTTTCTCCTCCGTTTCTACCCACATCTTTCTTGCACTTTTATTAAACTCTTCTTCCTCTTTCCCTTTTCTGTCCTTGAGGAAAAAGTCCCTGATGGACAAGGAGAAAATACTGGCCAGCGAGCACCACGTTGGGAGAACTGAGACAGCCACGACTGGAGCTAACGGGCCAAACGCGGGCCCCGGCAGTTTGAGCCAGTGCTGCCCGATGATGCAAACAGGACTTGATCGGCCTGGAGCGGAGACTCTCCTGGAATTTTGCACATGTATGTTTGACATCTTACTCCAATCCAACTCCACGCTCCAGATGGAGGAATAATTTCCTTGTTTGCTTGAGATGAATTTGCACTCTTCTTTTGCTCCTAGAAGGCCATTGCTCCCAGCCCCCAGGGGCTGCCTGTTAGTACCATCATTTTGCAGCAGTGAGTGCTCATTACTGTGCCGAGTTGGAAAATGCAGCATCTAGGTCGCTTAGGTTTTCTGAGGATTCCAACGCACGTCTTCCAGGGATCAGTGATACCTGGACACCTGAGGGCATCACACACCAAAACTGAGGTTCAACTTGGCTAGTCTTGGGAAACTCAGAGGCAACTGTAGGGCTCCCAGAACATCAGGACATCACAGACGTATTACAGGTTTGCAAAAGCGCAAAATAATTGCAGGTTCTGAGACGCCTGGGTGGCTCAGCGGCTGAGCGTCTGCCTTCGCTCAGGTCATGACCCCGGGATCCCGGAAGGAGTCCCACATCGGGCTCCCTGCATGGAGCCTGCTTCTCCCTCTGTCTCTGCCTCTCTCTCATGAATAAATAAATTAAATCTCTCAAAAAAATTGCAATTTGTAAAAGGTGACTTCTGGTGCACGACACACAACACAAGTCATGGGGGATACAAGTTACCAGGTCAGGCATGTTGTGGCTTTTTAAAAATTTTCCTCTCCTGTTTTGAAACGCACTTAAACAGTCCAAGGAAAGAAACTGACCAGGGTATAAAACGGCGTATGCATGAGAATCCCAATTTTGTAAGGAGAAACGCACGTGTACACACGCACACGGACCCTCACGTACCTAAGTTTGGCAGATAAGCACCCAAAACTCGGTAGTGGTCTCTCTGATGGAATTACGGGGCTTTTGCTTTCTTTAGACTTCATCTGCACTTTATGGTTTTAAAATAATGATAATAATTCATATTCCTCCTGTAACATAAATGAACAAACAGTCCAGGGAAGAATCAAAAGCAGCACAGAAACCCGCTTCAGAATCTGTTGAGTGAATTAAGCGGCTGTACAAGACCTCTGCCCGTTTGGAAAACTGCTGCTGGTAGAGGGTGGTCAAGTGTAAAATTGGGGGTCGCTGTAGCGCAGCAGTGAGAGCAAAGAGGCGTTTGGGGAAATGCTGCTGCCTTGGGAAACCCACGCGGACTCTGGGTCACTGGCGATCACGACAGCCGGGACTCGAGGGGTCACGAAGGGCACGACGTGGGGTTGTGAGAAGAGATTCCTACGTGAGCCACGGCAAGGATTCCTCGCCTGCGCCTCACCTCGGGTAGAAGAAGATGTGGGAGCCGCGTCTTGGCTTCCGAACCCGTTTCCCACGACGGGGGCAGGGCCCTCGCGTCGTCTCAGTCGTCCTCAAGGCTTCACCGGGCGGGTGCTCCCCGCGGGGCCTGCCGTTGGGGGTCCCTCCCACGCCGCGCCCGGCCTGCCCTTCGCTCTGGTCCCCGCCCCTGCAGAAGCACTTCGCGCCCCCCTACCCGCCCGTCGAGGTTTACCGTGCAGTGACCCCCCTGCTCTCGGGGAAGCTCGGGCGGGCCCCACCACCCCGTGCGTAGCCCCAACAGAGAACGGGGCCTTGAATTCTACAAGAGATCTTTTTGGGCAAAATTCCACCAGCGACAGATTTTTATGCTGGCTTTGAAAATGATCCAGCGGGGGCTCCAGGTTTCCTAGGGGTGGTGGCCGTTCCACAGTCACCCTCTCCCTTGTCTCCTGTTTCTGCCGATGGGCAAAGAGGCCAAGACCTGGAAGAGCCAGACGTCCAGCTCCCAGAGGCCCCTGCATGCCCCGGAGATCAGAGCGGAGGCGCCAGGCCTGACCCTCCCACACGGCCGTCACACCGCCGTCACACGGTCCTCGCACCCCCGTCACACGGTCCTTGCACCGCCGTCACACGGTCCTCGCACCCCCGTCACACGGTCCTCGCACCCCCGTCACACGGTCCTTGCACCGCCGTCACACGGTCCTCGCACCCCCGTCGCACCGCCGTCACACCGCCGTCACACAGTCCTTGCACCGCCGTCACACGGTCCTTGCACCGCCGTCACACCGCCGTCACACCGCCGTCACACCGCCGTCACACGGCCGTCACACGGTCCTCGCACCGCCGTCACACGGCCGTCACACGGTCCTCGCACCGCCGTCACACGCCGTCACACGGTCCTCGCACCGCCGTCACACCGCCGTCACACCGCCGTCACACGCCGTCACACGCCGTCACACGGTCCTCGCACCGCCGTCGCACGGCCGTCGCACCGCCGTCACACGGTCCTTGCACCGCCGTCACACGGTCCTCGCACCGCCGTCACACGCCGTCACACGGTCCTCGCACCGCCGTCACACCGCCGTCACACGGCCGTCACACGCCGTCACACGGTCCTCGCACCGCCGTCACACCGCCGTCACACGGTCCTCGCACCGCCGTCACACCGCCGTCACACGGCCGTCACACGCCGTCACACGGTCCTCGCACCGCCGTCACACGGCCATCACACGGTCCTCGCACCGCCGTCACACGGTCCTCGCACCCCCGTCACACGGTCCTCGCACCGCCGTCACACGGCCGTCACACGGTCCTCGCACCGCCGTCGCACCGGCGAGGTCCCAACGGGGCCCCTGAGCAAGCAGTCGGCGGACGGGACAGGCGTCAGCACCTCCTGGTTCGCAGACCACACCAGCGCCTCGAACGTTCCTGCGAGCGTCGCGGTAGAGCAGGCGCGAGGCGAGGCCTTCAGGCGGAGGAAGCGAAGCCGAGAGGACCTGCCCGGGGATGCGGGTGTCCAGCGGACCCTCGCTGCGCCGGGAGGGCGGCCCCCGGCCTGGCGGTTCACCGGCGCGACCCTCGCAGACGTTGGGGGACACACCGGGGAGGCCGCTCTGAGCCGGGCCCCTCCGCGGGGTCCAGCCGTCGGGGTCACGGTTACCCGCGCTGCCGGCCCGCGCCCGCCGCTCCCGAGCCGATGACAAGGGGCCTCAGGGCCGCGCCCTACCACCGACGCCCCTTCCTTCAGGAAACCCCTCGCCGTCGGGGGCTCCTGCGGCCCAGCACCCGCCTCCCGCAGGACACCGCGCGGGTAACGGCTCAACCTCCAGGAAGCCCGAGGCCGAGCTGCGGCGGCCCTGGGGTGGCAGCTGCGCCCGCCGCGGGGAGCCCAGCGGAGCCGGCGGAGCCAGCGGAGCCAGCGGAGCCAGCGGAGGGACGACCCGTCCCCGTCGTCCCTGCCCCAGGGTTAGCCGGTGCGTCGCGCCAAGGCCCGGCTTCCCGCCACAGCAAAGCAGCCGCCTCTGCCGTCCGCCGGCCCCGAGCAGCAGGGCCGCCAACACTCGACGCCACGCTCCGAGGCGCCAGGACGGCGGGGGCGGGCGGGGGCGGGGCGGGGGGCGGGCGGGCCCAGCTCCCGGGAAAGCGCCTGAGCCGTCGGGGCTCCGCGAAGCCGGGGTGGCCCGTGCCCGCCGCCCGCGGGAGGAGCCTGCGGCGCACCCGCTCCAGCGCACGCTCGGCCGCCTCGGGGCACCCCTCCGCGGCCCGACCACCGGCCTCCCGCTCCGCCAACCCGCAGGCCCGGAGTCCCGCCGGCCCTCCCCGCCTCGCGTTGGCCTTCCCGGGGGGCGGCCCTTCGCGGCGGCGCCCGACGACGCCCTCGCCACGCCCCTCGGCTCCTCGCCCGCCCCCCGCCCCCCCCCGCCCGCCTTGGACTAGCCCCCGCGCCCGGCTCCGCTCCGCGCTCAGGCCGTGTGAGGCCACGCGCCGCGCCCTCAGCGAGCGCCGCCGGGGCCTGACCTGGGGCCCGGCCTCCCCTGTCTCCCCGCAGCCGCAGCAGCTTCGCGGACGCGCCGTCGGACGAACCCAGGGCCGCCACGGCCCGCACGTGACCGGAGCGTCCCACCCACACCCACACACACACACGTGACGGGAACGTCCGACCCCACACACGTGACGGGAGCGACCGACCCCCACACACGTGACGGGAGCCTCCGTCCGACCCCACACACGTGACGGGAGCGTCCGACCCCCACACACGTGACGGGAGCGTCCCCTACACGCGACGGGCGCATCCCACGCCCCCCTCCCCCGCACGTGACCGGAGCGACCTGCCCCCACGTGACGGGAGCGTCGCGGGCCGCACCGCGAGGCGCCGCCGGGCTAACCCCAGGACGGTGGGAAGCCAGGACGTGGGCGGCGGCGCAGCGCCCCTGGGCAGTGAGCGGGTCCGCGGGGACCTTCGTGCGCCGCAGAAGCCCCGGGTGCCCCACGGCCCTGGGCGGAGCGGGCGGCGCCGCAGCCTGCGCCCTGGCAGGACCCGACAGAGGCACCGGTCGCCGCGGCTCCGCCTCAGACTCCGACTCGGGGTTGAGCTGGAGGGAAGGCCCCGGGCGCGGGGCGGACCCCGCAGGCCCCCGCGGCGACGGCCCCAAGGCCTGTTCCCCGCGGCCGGCACCTGGGGTCCGCGGGGAGCCGGGGAAGGCGCGGCGGGCTGCGGGCTGGGCCGCCACGGCCTCGGGGGCTGGGCCAACGCCCCCCCCTCCTCCTCCCCCTCCTCCCCTCCCCTCCTCCCCCTCCCCCCTCCCCCTCCCCTCCCCCTCCCCTCCCCCTCCCCTCCTCCTCCCCCTCCTCCTCCTCCCCCTCCTCCTCCTCCTCCCCCTCCTCCCCCTCCTCCTCCTCCCCTCCCCCTCCCCCCCTCCTCCTCCTCCTCGCGTGTTCCGGGAGCCCTCGGGGTCAGGCGGGAGAGAGAAGGCGGCCCAGGAGCCTCCCGACCTCCCTCCGTCAGGGCGTCGGGGCGTCGAGGCGTCGGGGCATCAGGGCCCGCGCGCGAGGAGAGGCCCCGCCCCGAGGTCGCCGCGGGCTTCCCTGAGCCTCCGCCCCCGCCCTCCCCCCCCCCCCGCCCGCAGCCCCAGCCCGCGACGACGCCCGCCCGGAGCAGTGGGCTCCTCACCGTCTGCCCCGAGGCCCGCGGGCGGCGGCGACTCGCTGTCCTCGTAGCGCATGACGGCCACGGCCCTGCCGTCCGGTCCTCCCCGAGCGCCGGCGTCTGCGGACGAGCCTGCGGGGCCGGAGAGTGAGGCCGGGAGCGCCCTGCCCGGCCCCCCCCCCCCCCGCCCCCCGCCCGCCCCCCCGCCCCGCCCGCCCCCGCCCGCGTCGCCCCCCGCGTCCCAGGCCGTCCCGGGCCGTCGGGGGCACCAGCGCCGCCCGCCCGTGCTCACCGCCGCCGCGCGGGCCCCGAGGGTGGCCCAGGATCTCGTCGTCCGAGGCGCGCAGGTTCCGCAGCAGGAAGTAGGTGGTCATGCGGCCCTTGCCCTTCACCTCGATCTCGCCCCTCTCGGCCATGTCGAAGCCGCGGTTCTGCAGAGCCCTGCGGGGGGGGGGAAGGCGGCTGGCGGAGCGGGGTGGGGGGGGTGGGGGCGGGGCGGGTCTCCCCGGCTTTGCGGCCCCGAGCGGGAGGCCCCCCGGAGGCGAGCGCCGCCCTTCCGTCCTCCCCACCCCGCCGCCCGGGCGTGGGGGCGACCGTCCAGGCGCCGTCCCCGGTACAGGCGACCCCGCGGCGTGTGCCCCGCTGGCCCCGGCTCGGAGCTGGGGTGCCGCCCCCCGCCCCGCCCGCCCGCCCGCGTCCCTCCCGCCTTGACCCTGGACGGCCGTCCCCGGAGTCTGCACCCCGAGCCCCGTGTGTCCCCACCGCCGGCCGCCGCGCCCCGGCAGGACAAGGGCCCGTCCTCGAGCCCCGGGCACCCCAGGCCGCCGCCCCGCCCCCCCCCCCCGACGTGCAGCCCGTCCCAGCCTGAGCTCCCCTCGCGGCCCACGCAGACCCCGCCCGTCCCCCAGCGAGGGCGGCCGGGAGCCCCCCAGACCCTGCCCCCCTGCCGTGCTCCGACCCTAGCAGGTGCCCGGTGCAGCCCGTTTCGCCTCCGCCTCCGCTGCCCCGTGCCCGGCCCCCGCCCCCGGGGCTCCCTGGTGCTTCGCGCTCGCGAGCTGTCAGGCCCCGCGTCCGACTCGACTCCGCCTCTGCGCTGGGACTGCTCGGGTTTCTCTCCCCAGACCCTCAGCTTTGGCTAAACCCTACCCTGACCTCGGTCTCGGTGTCGGCGTCAGTGTAGGTGTCGGCGTCGGAGACTCCGCCCAGGAATCGCTCCCCCACGAAGGGCTCCTCCCCCGGGCTGTGCGCCCTCACCCAGGCTCCAGGACCCGCTCACCTTACCCGAGACACAAGGGTTCGGCCCGAGCAGGACCCAGAGCCCGAGCCCCGGGCTGCATCTGGGCGCTTCTCCGCCCTGAACCCCCCGCGGGCCCTGGGCTCTCAGGGAGCTGTTGCAAGAGCACATGACGCACAGAAGTCAGAGAGCTTCGACTCTGGCTGGCATCTGACAAGTTCTCGAAAACCGTATTTCATGCTTATCTTTGTCGTCGTGCTTATCGTGCTCTCAAAATAATCACTCGTTGAGCGTTTCTCTTTTTCTACTAGACCAAGGGTCAGCTCCCTCTCCTGGTGCAAGGCCACATAGTACATCTGCTCAGCGTTGCAGGCCGTGCAGCCTCCGCCACCGCCCCTCAGCGCTGCGGTGGCCCGTGCAGGAACCACGCATGACGAGCAAATAGAGAAGCAGGCTCTGTTCCGGGAGAACTACTTACAAAAACAGGCAGAAGGCTGGGTGCGGCCTGTGGCCGTGCTTTGCCAGTCCCTGCGTCCCTGCGTCACCCCCTACGCTCCTCGGGAGCAAAGCTGTCCCAGAGTAGTGGCTCGGTATGTCTATCGCCCGGCGTCATGCCTCCTGTCCGCCAGGGAGGCATGGGAGGAGCGCCACGGGGCCCCTTCGCGCCCCCCTCCACCTCTGCTGGGCACCCGCACATCCTGGAAGTAGGGGAAGGCACACGAAGGCATGAAGACACGGACGGTTACCTGTAGGCCGTGGGGCTGAGGTGCACTTGGTTGGGAAGCCCGTGACTTTCCATCCTGGAAGCTGTGTTCACCGTGTCCCCAAACAAGCAGTACCGTGGCATCTTGTCCCCCACCACACCTGCCAGGACCGGTCCCGTGTGGATCCCCACTCTGATCTGCGCGGAGAGAACCTCGCTGAAAAGGGACCCTTGAATACCACCACTTTTGTTTTGAAGTTTGAGGCATAATATACGTGAAACGGAAAGATCTGAAGTATTCAGCTCCGTGAGCTTGGACAAGAGCACGTACCCCTGTAGCCACACGCCTACGGTCGTTGCCTCCCAAAATTCCCTTGTGCCCTTTTCCCATGAAGTTTCGTCCCTCTCTGCAGGGGGATCCACTTCCTTCATTTCCTTCGCCAAAGACTAATTTGCCTGTTCCCACGGGAAGGGGAGCCAGGCTGCCTGGCGGTTGTGGGACCTCCGTGTACACCGCGGGCGGAGAGAAATGATCGGAGATCTCAGAGCACAGATTTAGAATCTGCTGAGACGGTGGCGTGAGTGTCGCGAGAGAGAAGGGTTTCGCATCCTCGTCCCCGCTCCCTCAAATAAGCCGCACGGCTTGTTGTTTCTGGGGGACAGTGACTGATGCTCCTGACTACGGCCCTATTCTTAAACTTGATAATCTCTTCCTGTTCTCGTCTTGGTAAACCCACCGTGAGAGCTCCAGGAATTCACGGTTTGATCTCGTTCTTGGCGGAGCGTTACTGTCGTCTCCGTGGCGAGGCCGCTCACGCGCACCCGATACACACGCTCCCTTTACACAACGGTACATTTTCAGTTTTTTTTTTCTTATCTGACTTTTTAACCGAAACACGTTATCTCTTCTCTGGCGCTCTCATCTCCTTCCCTCATTCCCTCCCATCTTGATTTTTTTTTTTTTTTTTTTTTTTTACTGGGGGTTTTAGTCAACAGATGGGTCTGTGTGCTTGCGACGGCCGAGTACTGTGGCTTAAACTTTAAAACTTAAACCACAGAAATGTCAGGACGGGGAGGATCTGCTGAGCACACAGAAGAGGACGCCGACTTGTCCTCTCCGTCTCTCAGAGCAAACAGGTCTCCGTGCTTGGAAGAGCAGGCTCCTGTGTGGGAGGCGAGCAGACGTCTCAGCAAGGGCCACGTGGTGGGAGGAAGTCTGTTCTAAGTATCTCACGGCTCCCGGTGCCTGGCCTACTGCTGGGGGCAGTTTCCCCCCGCAGGTTGAGAACTCGTGAACCTGCGAGAAGGCACGTTGAACACACAGTTTTCCTTGGGATGGGAAGGGGTTGGCTATTCGGCAAACCTGAACCACTTGTTGAACTGAATGCCCAAATCGAAAAACCAGAATTATTAAAAAAAAAAAAAAAAAAAAGCCAGCTCTCAAGATGGATTGAACCCCGGGGAGTGAATGGGGAGACCTGCTCAGCCCTGTAGACAAGCTTGCAGTGAATGTCACGGAAGTCCCAGGCTCCAGAGCCTTCTCTGAAGGTCACGAAAGGTTGGGATGATATCCTAATAACTCAGTTACGTAGAACATGTGCGGGAGAAGGCAAGAGTTGGGAGAAAGCACCCGTTTTGAGTACTGCGACGTGCCCAGGAGCCACCTGAACAGAAGCAGAGGCTACTCTTCTGTGTGTGAGACGGTTGGTAGGAAGCCGAGGACCCGGTTTCTCCCTACCTGGATGGGTTCTCCGGTAACCGGATTCTTCACTTCTGCTGCAGCAATTCTCATCCCCAAGGCGAAGTTAGCCACTCTCTGGGCGTGGCTTCCAACGGGCACCGGGACGCCCCCCACCACCATGTAAGCATCTCCTATGGTCTCCACCTGTGAGGGGGGAGGGGGCCTTCAGGGGGTTGCCTTAAGGCATTAAACCTGTCCCTAAGAATTTCTGTCGTTATCTGTGTGTTGACAAAAGGACCATATGGAAGCTACGGGTGACTTGCCAGGAGTATGAAGAGCATCCGGCAAGCGGTGGGGAGAAAACTGAGCCCGCAGACCCCCGGAGAGCGCCCGCGGGCCTCTGTGCTGCCGGCAGGAACAGGCCCCCGAGAGGACGGAGCCCCTGGCTTAGCGCACGACGCCCTGTACTGGGCCTACGTTATTACGTCAGACTTCTGCTGAGTTCCCGGGATAGAATTGTTGTCAGAGAAGAGTGTGCCCCTCGGAGGCGTCTCAGCAGCGCGTATTCCAAAAGGATCCCCACAAACAAACAGAAATCCCTAAAACAGCTCCAACTGCCTTCTAGCCTTACGGGCTCGCCCTGCTGCTCTGCACCAAGCCCTGAGCACAGAGGGGGCGGGAGGGAGGCGCAGAGCTGAGCTCCTGCCCGCCCGGGCGCCCACCCCGCAGGCCGCGGACACCCACCTTGTAGACCTCGTGGACGCTGGTTAGCCTGTCAAACTTGGAGTACATTGAATTCAGCATCGTCACGATTTGGATGGGCTGGCAGGCCGCACAGATGTTGGTGAACGTCACCACGTCGCTGAAAAGAATCGTGCAAGTTTTAAATTCTCCTGCAACAGAAACCGGGTGTCGTGTTGGCCCAGGATATGGAATAATCGTTCTGCAGACTCCAGCGTCCGGTGTCCTGGGGGACCGGGTCCGGCACATCGTCCTCAGGCACTGGGCGTCCAGGCCCGCTACCTTCTTCCACCGCGCGGCCAGGGGGCCTGTCTGGGTCGGTGTGTCCACTCGTCTGCCCCAAGTGCGTGGCTCCATCACGCCGAGCCTGGAGCAGAAGGTCCTCACCGTGGCCGGGAAGGGGCCCCCTCTGTCCCGGCACGTCCCCGACCTCCCGTCTCCACGGCTCTGGCTTACTCCACCCCACCCACCCCAGCCTCCGTGGGGTTCCCAGTGCCTCCTGCGCAGGGCCTTTGCACCTGCTGTGTCCTCTCCCAACCCCTCTTTTCTCAAACATTGAAGAGGCTTCGTCTCACGTCTCCAGTGTGAGCACCTCAGTGAGACCCCCGGTACCCCTCTGTCAGTGCAGCAGCCCCCAGGCCCTACCCTTTTAGCCTTGTTGCGGCCCCAACCCACAAGCCGTATGTGCATGTGTGGCGTGGGGTGTGTACCTTACTGGCTGTCTTCCCCACTGGACCGTAGGCTCCGGGGGAGGAGAGGCGGACTGGGCCGCTGCTGCATCCCCAGCACCCGGAGCAGGGCCTGGCTCACAGCAGGCGCCCAGGGAGTGGCTGTTGGAGGAGCGAGGGTGCGACGACTCGAATGCAGCACGGGGCCCTCCGTGTCACGGTGCCTCTAAGAGCCTCTCGTTCGCGTGCCCTTCTCCTCCCTTCGGCGTCCGGCCTTCCCTTCTCTCTTCCTACCCTCCCTACCCTTCGGGTCTCGTTTTACGTATTGCACTGGCTTTTCTTCCTCCTGAAGTAACAGGTGTCCCCTGGGCTTCCGTGCCGAGCCCCCTTCCGCTCCCACCTCCCAGCCCCTCGACCTTACTTGTCATCCGTGGGCTCTGTGATTAGCCGCCATGCCCGCTGCACTACTTCCTAGACCCCTGGTGCACCCGAGACGTCGCCACTGAGCTCTGCCCGCAGTCCCTGCTACCTGTGGTTCTGCTCCACGGGGTGTCCCGTGGGCATTTCACTCAGAGGCTCTAGAACTGACCTCCCGTCCTCCCCCCAACCTGCCCTTCTCTCCGGCTCCACATAGAATAAGGGGCCACGTGTTTCTGCGCCAGAAACTCCGCACTCAGCACGGACTCCCCTCTCTTCCCTGCCCCGTCCTCTCGGTAATGAGGGTCCTGCCGATTGCTCCTGGCGGGGTCTCAGTCCAGGCCCTTGCCATGCTCGCCGCACGCCACGCATCGCTCACGGCCTTCTCTGCCTCCCTCTCGTGCACTCACTGCACTGCAGGCAGGTTCATATTCATCACACTGATCGTGAAACCTTCCTAATAAGCAACAGAAGCCTCAGGGAGTCCTCACCTGAGCCCCACCCTAGGTGCCCAGCCTCGCCGGGCGCGTTCTAGGGGTCGCACCGTGCAGGGCTTATGTTCGCGTTGCCTCACCTTCACTCCTGCGATCCCGTTCTCCTGAAATGCCTTTCCCTTCTTTTTTTGCTAAGATGAGGTCTCGAGGCTTAACTCCAGTGCCGTGCACCTTATACAAAGCCTCACAGCCCCTGCCCTCCTATCTTTCTCTCCGACAACCCTTTTATTTTCACTTCCCTGGCAGCTGTGTCTCCACACCTTTGTGATGGAAAACCTATGAATTGCGGAGTTAGTTGGGACTTCTAATTGATTTTTCAGATTGTCTTACTCATAAATGGGAGGGACTGTAAATTTACGTAGCTCTGTTGGATAAGAGCCCCTCCTTCGTAGAAATGTGCAGAAAATTAAATGAAATGGCATGTGTAAAAACGTCTCGTACGGGTCCTGGCACAACCATCGCCCCTCAAGGGACGTGAGCGTCCCTTCCTTTGGCCTCCCCAACCCCCGTGCACATATCCTGCATCTGTCAGGCCCACAAGACCGTGAGCCCCCCTGGGTCCTTGAGGCCTGCCAGCCCCCTGGCTCGAGCAGCTTCCCCGCCTACGTCTGGAGGTGAACACACACCCGCGGCAGATGGAAAGTGAGCTCAGATCACGCACGGCCTTCTCCCCCCATACTGGGCTTGCTCTCCCAGAGTGGCCCCGGGAGGAGCCCCGTGACTGGGGTCAGGAGTGGCCCTGTTGTTTCCAGTTAGGAGGAGGAGCTCTGTTTGTGACAGGCCGCAGCTTTCGGGTCGTAGGGGAGGTAGCATAGCTGGGCGTCGTTGGCAGGCGTTTTTCTCTGCTCCGTATTTCGCTTGCGTATTCTGTTTATTGTCGTTATTGTTGGGAGAAGACAACCAAGGACGCGCAGCTCAAGGAGCCGGCCCCAGGTCACGTCGCCACCGCGGGACGGAGCCAGCATTCGAACCTCGATCCGCCTGCCTTCTGAGCCTGCGCCCACTGAGGACACGGCCCCTTGCTCAGGGGGCCCCGTGACGGGAAGGGAATGCTCTACCTGCAGCCACTTTTTTGCCGTCCTTCAGCTGGTTGGCCACGTGTTCCGGCAGCATGGCGTACAGCAGGGTCTCGGTTTTCTTCTTCTCAATGGCCAGGTGCCTGGACAGGACCCGCAGCTCCTCCTTCTTCCTCTCCAGCTGGTTGGACAGCTCGATCTCAGCCAGGCGCTGCTGGTTCAGGAGGATGAGATCCCTGGTGGTGTCGTGCGGCGCGATGTCAGACAGGTGCATTCTGCGCTGCTCCAGCTCTTGCAGGCTGCGGAGCTTCGGGGAGCACACGTAGGCCATGCACCGCACGGACTCCATCCAGATCATCTGGCCTTTCCGTCACGGAGAGAAACGCCACAGTACCGCGCGTCACCGGCCGGTGACACGGCTCGCCACCCCATCACCCCACCGCACGTTCTCCTCCCTCCCTTTCGGCCACTTTTGGTGAAGGCTGGTCTCTAGGTCCCGCCTCGCTCAGCTCCGTCCCAGGCACCTTCCTCTTAAGGAGGCGCCCGTCCGGGGCTTCCGAACCACCCTCTGCGGCGTGGCCTGTCTCCCCCTTCCTGAGCCCTCCCGCTGTTGGAGGGTCTTATGCAGACCCCCCCCCCCCGTCCCGCCACAGACCTCACTTCCAGGGACTTCCCTGACCCTGCCTTCTCTCTGAGGTCCCCCTGACTTCCTTCAATGTTTCTTTTAGGTTTTTTTTTGCTCGTGGCTTCCCTGCTGGTATTCCCCAGGGTCCTGTCTGGGTGTTGTCATGGGAATACACCACGGCGTCCCACATCATGCTGACAGTGAATCTGAATTTCCAGAGAAACGCTACCTCCTGGACTCGAGGTGCCTATTTCCTTAAAAATATGTTTATTATAAAAGCAGTGTGCATGCGTTGCAGAAAATGAAGAAAGATGAAGAACTATCACCTATAATTACACCTCTCAGATAATTACTAAAATTTCTGCCGTCTTCTTTTTGTAATATGTATTTTTCATTTAAGATTTATAATGGATATATCTTTTGATAGCAAAATCATAGACGTGCATCATACTTTTTGCTGGGTACATTGATTATACCATATTTTATTTAAGCAACTCGCTAGCATTGATGATATCATGTCCCTTTCTGTCAGCCCATAAACAACGTGGCAGCGACCAAGCTTAAGGCCACTGTGCACAGTTGTGGCTATTTTGTTAACGATATAATCTTAGAGGGCCACCCGGGGTGGCCCAGGGGTTGAGCGTCTGCCCTTGGCTCAGGGCATGACCCTGGGGTCCCGGGATCGAGTCCCCCATTGGGCTCCCTGCATGGAGCCTGCTTCTCCCTCTGCCTGTGTCTCTGCCTCTCTCCCTCTGTCTCTCATGAATAAATAAATGAAATCTTGAAAATTCCCATCCCAGATCGAATATCCATGTTTCCCAAAACTCAAAATTCTAAATGTATGTAATCATAGAAAAAAAGGTATAATCTTAGGAATGGAGTTATTGAGACAAAAGAATATGCTCATTTTTAATGTTTTTGATGCATATTGCTAAAATGTCCTCAAAAATGATTGTGACAGTTTACCTTCACCTCAGCAGTGATTTTTTTTAATTACTCATCAATATCTGCACGTGGTTGTCTGCAGGTGCTTATTTCCTCGCATGTGTACCCAGTCCCTGCTTTGGGCCGGGCACAGCATCCCAGGCACTGAGGAGACAGCAGTGACTCACTGGCCCAGCCGCTGCCCCCAAGGACCTCCCGTCTCGTCCTTCCTCAGCTATAACCACACCTTCAGCACCCAGTTACCCAATCATTGTCCTCAGCATTCTCTGTCTTCTGCAGCCCCTACATCCAACCCCCAGCTTCCGCCGTGGTTATCTCCTGAACCTGTTCCTCCGTGACCCCCACCCCGCCAGCGCCGCCACCACCACCACTAAAGCCTCTCGCCAAGTGTCCGGTGGCAGCCTGCCATGTTCCATCCATCTTTTTTGAGAAAACTGGACAACTCTGTTGGGTCCCTTTCTGAGCAATCTCCCCAAGGCCAGAGAGCCGTGGGGGAGGGAGGGGGAGCTCCTTACCTCGGAGTTTGAGGGCAGGCTGACTTTTCCATGCCTCAGGCATCTTTTCTCTTCGTGCCTTCAGGACGAATTGACTATTGATGAATTTGCAGATGCTGCAAATGTTGAAGGCCACTTGAGGGTGAACGATGGAGAAATACTCATCTAATGGAATCTTCTGGGTTTGGAGTCCGGGGACATACTTCTGAATGTTCACTCCAGCCTGCTTGACCCTCAGCTATCCACAGAGGACAGATGTGAGCCCGGGGAACAGAGAGCAACCTACACCACACACGGGCCCTCGACAGTATCATCATCCCACGCACCTTGTGACTCACGGAGGGAAAGGGCCGCTAGTGGAGTAGACCTCGAAGAAGGAATAACTACTATTTTATAAAGTGGATCTGCAGCTAGCCTCTCAGAGGAAAGGATCGAATGGGGTGCTCAGAAGCAGAGCTCCCACCAACAGGAAGCAGGGTGTAAAGCTCTCAGTTGGGCTGACAGTTCTTCCCTAACTCTGTGGGATTTCTCTGTCCCTTCCTGTCTCTCTCTCTCTCTCTCTCGGACTCTCCCGTTTCCTCTCTTTAGGATGCGCTAATAAAGAAACTAGCAAATTCTGTAGCTTAGACCTGACGCCCAGGCTCGGATGGAGGTGAGGAGCCCTCCACTGCTGTGTCCTGTGTCCAGGGAACACACGGAGGGAAGAGGCCAGACGAGAATCCTGGACACAAGCTGTCCACTGCCTGCAGAAGCTGACCCAGAACTTCACGTCACTAACCGTGGGCTGGCTGTCAGGCTACAGACATCGACCCCGCATTATAAACTATCAGGAGACTTTCTGTTATTCTATGCCCAAAGTGTGAAAAAGAAAAAGGAGTTTTAAGATGCACCAGAATCTAAGACATTAATAGTAGTCACCCTAGCATCCTCATGGCCCTGGGGAAATGCCCGGGACACCGCTTCATCATTCCCCAGTCATTTCTTACAGGAGTCTTTGCCTCAGCTAGATCAATTCTCTGCGAGCAGACGTGACCCTCCAAAGAGTAAATTTCATAGAATCAGCATCCGTAGCGGTCAACTAACTAGCAGGCGATGAATCAAACCGTCTCTGCTTTCAAATAAGCATCACAGAACATTGCAATTACCTGAAGCCATTTTTTTTTCTGAAGCCATCTTTTTAAATATTTTTGACCAAATTCATTTTGCCTAATTGCCCTTTAAATGAATTCATAATTGAGCACCTGGGTGGCTCAGCGGTTGAGCGTCTGCCCTTGGCTCAGGTCATGACCCTGGGGTCCCGGGATTGAGTCCTGTGTTGGGCTCCCTGCTCTGCGGGGACCCTGCCTCTCCCTCTCCCTCTGCCCACCACTCTCCCTGCTCGTGCGCTCTCCCTCATTCTTTCTCTCCCAAATAAATGAAATCCTTTAAAAAATGAGCTCAGGGGATCCCTGGGTGGCTCAGCGGTTTGGTGCCTGCCTTTGGCCCAGGGCGCGATCCTGGAGTCCCAGGATCAAGTCCCGCATCAGGCTCCCTGCATGGAGCCTGCTTCTCCCTCCTCCTGTGTCTCTGCCTCTCTCTCTCTCTCTCTCATGAATAAATAAATCTTTTTAAAAAATGAGCTCATAATCGATTCCAGTGACATATATGTCATCCAAGGAAATGATAACCAAACATTTTCCATTAATGCTCATCCTCACACGTCCCACAAAACCGTGGCAGGAGTTGGCACAGACCTTTCCCCTGCCTTCACGATGCAGGAAGAGAAGCCTGGCGAGACTGGGACATCCACAGCGGCCACGAGGACGGCAAGGAGCCACATCTAAGGTTTCACCATCATCACTGTTCTTTCATCTCAGTGTTGCAAACTTCGGTGTCGCTTCAAACCTGCCCCTGGGCTCATGAGTCCAGACCCCCTGGCCCTGCTCCCCACCCGCATGTACGGAGAAGATCACGCGTTCTGGTTTCTGGAGGATGCCACACTGAGAAAGAAGTCAACGGTCCCGCCGGGCTACACCCTCGCCTCCCAAGCCCTGGGGGCCCCACAGGGACTTGAAGGTCACCACCAGCCGGGAAAGACCGTGCAACCTAGTCCCTCCCCACCTTATCCCTAAGCCGAGTACAGAGGGGAAGGGCCTCTTACTGATTCGTCAAACACAATGTGGAAAGGAAAAGCCTTGCAGAATGTCTTCGGTTCAATCCAGAGCCGCTCGGGATAAACTGGCACAACGGTGTTGGCGGGCTGCCCTGGACGTGGAAGAGGAGAGGCCTGTCACGGACGGAGGCTGCGGCCGGCTCACAGCGGCCCGAGGGGCCGGCCCAGGGCCGGGCCGCAGGCTCCAGGTGGCCGCGGCCGCTCTTCCAAATGCACAGAACACTTGCTGCCGGGCTGAGCAGCCCCCCGCCCCTGCCAAGTGTCTGCCCGCCGCCGAAGCTTCTGGGCCAATTGAGTATGTCTCGCCAGGAAAACAGAGCCTGCATTGAGGTGGTGACAGCCAGACAATGGGCCAGCCGAGCAGAGCGTGTGCGCCCGGCCCAGCGTCAGGGACGTTTGCCATGGGGCTCTCTAGACTGACAGTTTGGGTGGCACATGAAAATTTAACCACGGCCCTATTTGGCAGGGGGTAGAGATTCGAAATGGAGCCTTTTTGATATGAAAATCTCGCAGACAAAGGGCGTCAATTGTGTGTTTGACTCCCTTGCCACTGCTCGAGGGACTCAAAATGCAGCCTTTGAGCTCTGCACACCTCCTCCCAGATGCGGTCCGACCACGACCACGACCACGGGGCTGATGGGAGCGCGGGCCCTCATTCTGGCTGCATCGGGGGTGCTCATCACGGGACAGGCTTGGCGTCAACAAGGGCACCTTGAGAGCCTAACGCCTTCATTTGTCACATGGGAGAGGAGGTCCTGGTTCTGGGCCATACGGCCCCTCGGAGGCAGGGCCAGAAATCTGCTTTCCTGGCTCCGGGTCCAGTGTCCTTTGCGCTACTGGACACCGTGGTTATTAACTGCAGACTTCCAGGCCAGAAGTGCATCCCAGTCCAGAAGGCCTTGTGCTTGAGAATATGTCAGTCCTCGTCCTCCTTCCTGCCAGCACAGCAGCCAACTGGGACCAGTTCCCATCCTGTCTCCAGTGGCCTTCCCTGACAAGCGAGCGGGGGGAGCCTGTGTCTCTGCCCCAGCTCTGCAAGGGGCACGGCACAAATAAAAGGGCCACAGGAAGGCGACTTAGGGCCTGATGTTCTACAGTTAAAAACCACGCCTGCCCGATCGGAGCTCTGCAGAAACTGGGGACATCACAATCCTGGAGGCCTTTGCCCATCTGTGCACACCAAGCACTTACTCCGCTCTGAGAGCCGAGGTCGGGAGAAGGGCACACTCACCTTTTCCAAACATGACTATGCTCCTCACAACCTCCCAGGGGGATTTCTTGGATTTCTTCACAGGACAGGCAGAGACACTCACATACTTCTCTTTCATCCTAAGGAAAGCTGCCTCCAGAGCCTGCAGATGGCAGAGAGACAAGCACGGGGGTCTGGTCATGTGACTGGCACAAGTCACACACCCGGACATGCACAAGCCCAATTTGCTGTAACTGGGACCAGAGGAATGGCAAGGCCTTGCAAGGTCAATTTTAGCAAGACTTCGTTATCCCCAAGATTTTAGTTTTTTATTGAATTAATCCTGATGTCTCTCTGCCAAAGGCAGCAAGGATTTTTACATATCTCAACATGGGGCTGGCAGAAAAATTACACGTGAACATCTTCTCTTCCTGGGGTTGAAGATTCTGTAGCAAACAGACTCTGAGGTGGGCTTTGAATGCGCTAAGATGTAAACACCGTGTGCTCCAGGAATCAGAATTATCTGGATGTCTTTGTAAGGTGTGTGGGCCCAGAGAGCTGTGTACCTAGTACACGTAGTGCCTAAATGATGCCGCTCACTCCGCAAGTTGCCACTGAGGCAGCCTTGAGGCAGCCGACCACAGGACCGTGAACTGACTCCAGACTCCTAACTGGCCCCAGCTGTAGAAGTGGGCACTTAGGACTTCAGGGGTCAATTTATTTTAGAAAGGTTGCAGAATAAGCCACCAAATCCAAATTTTTGGCCTTCGTATTCATGTTTTCAGAGGTGGAAATGGTTCCCAGCTAACGTTCATCCCTAGAAAACTTCCAGATGTTTATCCAAGTTTTCTCAACCAGGGATGATTTTGTCCCTCCCCCTTCCCTGGAGACACCTGGTGATCCCTGGAGACATTTCCCGATCGCCACAATTAAGGAGCTGGGGAGCAGGGTGCTACTTGCGCTTGGTGGGTAGACTAGGAATGCTGCTAAATATGCACAAGACGCCCATAATGACAAACGTCTGGCCCAAAATATCAGTAGTGTTGAGATGGAGAAACCCTGCCTTAAATCCACTAACCGAGGGTCCATTTGGTTCTGTTCCTTGCATAGGTGGTTCTGAGACTTGGAGCTCCCCTGGGAGCATCTGTGCGCTCTGAAGACAGAGCAAACCCAGTACCTCTTGGTCTCTCCGGAAGTCCTGGCTGTCTTGTAACCTGTTTGGTTTTGCCGTTCTCATGTGTCTGTGAGACTTCTGCCCAACAAGGAACACAACATGCTCCTTCTTGCCTGTCCTCTCCTCTTCCCTATTCATGTGGACGATATCCATGGTCACCTCAATGTCAAAGAAGTCTTTGGCCACAGCCTCGATGATACCTACAGCAGAGGGACACCTCATGGTGAGGGATGGCAAGAGGCGGTTTTGTCAGCAAAAGTCATAAAATAATCAAGTTATACGACTGCAGGTGAATATTCCAGATACTACGAAGCCCAGGCCCTGTGTCAAGATAGGGAGCACAGGATAGATGGATAAAATTAAAAATAAAATACCTTCCAGGTAGAGGTTTAAGCTATACACGTCTGGATACCGTATATGTCCCTGCCACTCTAATTTCTAGTTCAGCATCTATTATCAAATTGATCCTGATGTGTCTCTGCCAAAGGCAGCAAGGATTTTCACACATCCCAAGACGGGGCTGGCCGAAAAATTACACGTGAACATCATCTTTATTTCAGGAAGGTATTTAACTCACGAAACGAACTCTAGAAATAATGTGAACAGAATCCAGTTGTAAAAGCATGAAGGAAGGATCATGTTTTAAAAAGAAGTGCGCTGGAAATCTCCCCCAGGGTTATGACATAAGCATGGGAAAAGCGTGCGTAAAGATGTTCACCACAGCACCGCTTTCAACAGCAAAGGGTGGTATCAGCTACAGATCCAACAACAGGGGACTAGCTAATTACAATGCGGAATGTCACTCAGCCGTTGAAAATGGGCTTCAAAGACCATATGAAAACATGGCAGGATGCTTTCTCCATGAAGCTGAATACACAAAGAAAGCCTGGTATGAAATAATAAATATCCCGAGTGTGTAATTGCTCGCATAGTTTAAAATGCGAAAGTAAAAAATGGGAAGTATTCCTTCTTTTGGAAGTTTGGGAACTTATCCTGATGGCCCAGAGACTTTGCGAGTGATGGTTAAGATGGCAATAGAATCAGATGATAGAAGAGCTGAGCTGGCTATGAGCCATCCTGCGGGATTTATGGAGAGACCATCCTTACCGCAGAGGCCTCATAACCGTGGTACTGGTTAAGCTGTTCTCCTACCCGGTACGATGTGGCACAGACCACTCCTATCCGAGTAGTAATGGAGAAGCATTCTCCCGTCTGCTCCTCTCTCCACGCGGAATGATGGTGCGTTCATCTCCTAATCAAAAGACAGGACGTGTTTCTCCCAGTGAACACAGTGGTGTGTATGCTTTTGAGGCTTTCTGAAACCACAGTACGTATCCATTACAGCACACACAGCTCCAGCTCCAGCCTCTCTCCAATCACATGAAATCCACCATGATTTTGGCCCCTATATGTCAAGAATTTGATACTGTCCCTAATTCCTTAACCTACTCTATATGGTAAGTGTTCTTCCCTTTTAAAGAGGAAGAAACAGGCTCAGTGGAGTCAAGACTAGAGTAAGGGTGGAATAATATTTGGACCCCGGTGAGCCTCCCAGCCACGCAGGCTCCTTCTACCCACACTCCAAGGTGGGGCCAGCTGCTGTGCCCGGCCTGTGACCAAGGGACCAGGGGCGGCGGCTTCACCCTCAGAAAGATCAGGAGCTCAGAGCAACTTGGAGGAGAGTCCATCTCTCATTCTGGAAGTACGTGTCTTCCGCAGCGTAAAGTTGCACATTAGGAAAATCAAGATACATCAGAAGAGATCGTCTTTCTCTGGGAACAAATGCTGGCATTCAAGTATGCACCACCTCGTGGTAGATGTGCGTCAGAAAATAAAATAAGGATGAAGACTTTGCCTGGGGGAGTCCCCGGGGCAAGTACTGTCCCCACCACTTGGTTAGTAGGCCCCTCAGCACCCGGGCCTACAGCTTGTGGTCTGGGTGACAGAAGAGATTAAGAAGGTGGGTTCCTACCAAGATCTTTGCTTTCTTCTATGGTGGGAGGATTTCTAGTTAAAATGAGTTTCTTTTTAAAAAAAAAAAATATTTTATCTTTCCAAAGCATATACACAGGGAAAGCGTATGTTTGTATATATGCATGTTTACATCTTGGTTAAATCTTAAGAGGATTTGAGGCAGCACATGTAAAAAAGCATATAATAAAACAGGAAATGAAAAGTTATTTAAAGAAAATTATATCCAAACCCTACATGGTGAAAAAAAAAATAACAGAACCCAGAGGGCTAAAATGAAAAGTCACCCGCTCTTGCTCTGACCTCCACCCTCACTCCTCACCCCCAGCCTAAGCCACCTCCCAGAGACACTTCTCAAGGTTTGTGCTTTTAATTCCTCTGGTCACCCTATCCAGCTCTCTATATAGTAAGATTTACTTTTATTTCTTGATTAAAACAGGGTTTTATGAAAGTGGAGAATCAGGGCAAAGGGGAATTAATGGGAAGCAGACCAGAGCATGGTCTTTGGGAAAGAGGCACAGGTGGGGTGGTGTCCCCTGGCTCAGCCACCACAACCTGGCAACTCGGGGCAATTATTTGACCTTCCTGGACCTGATCTCTCATCTATATCATGAGAAAAAAAAAATAAGAGTACCTAATCTTAGGGGCATAAGGAGGATAATTCAATGTTTGTATGTTACTTAGTCCAACACCTGCCTCATAATTCGCACCCAATGAAAATTAGGTAAAAAAAAAAAAAAAGATTAAAGGCACAGCTATAATCAGAAACATATACCTTAAGGCACTGATACATTACTAGAAGAAGCCCTAAAGGAAAGTCAGCATTATCTTATTTTACTTTCGCCTAGAGAGACAACCTATGATGTTTTGCCCTGTGCGGCTATCAGGTATCACTGCGTGTATTTGATTACAGCGTGAAAACCGTAACAGGTACATATTTTATTCATCTCATCGTGCACAAAAAAGTCTCACACCCTAAGAAGTTCTATTCTTTTTCTTAAGATTTTATTTATTTATTTTTGAGGGAGAGGGCGAGGCAGAGGGAGAGAGACTCTCAAGCAGACTCCCCGCTGAGCGCAGAGCCTGATGCAGGGCTCAGTCTCACGACCCGGAGACCATGACCTGAGCTGAAGCCAAGAGTTGGACGCTTAAACCGTCTGACCACCCAGGCTCTCCTGGGAAGTTCTACTCATTACCATTCGTTTTGGCCCGTGAAGGAATGACGCGTGAGTACCCCAGAGGAGAGGTAGTAGGAATGGTGTACGGACCGTGGGCAGGAACGTCAGACCCTCAACACCATTCACCCTTTTTCCTTAGAGTGGCAGTTATATGGTGAGTGCAGTATCTGGAGCATAAAGGATACTCCATAATATTTTTTGGTTTAGTGAGTGAATGGGAGAACATTAACATTCCTCACAACCGTGACTTGAAGTATTGGCCAAATTTTCAGATGAAAGAGGTTATATTAAAAAACCTCATGGGAGATGATTGAAGGAGCCAAGTGTATTCCTTTGTATCCTAATTGTGGTGCTTTAGCTAAGAAATCTTAAAGGGAGTTGCCATATGAATTATTGTAATTTTTAAACTGGCCATATTGAATAGAGAGGAAAGGGAAAAGAAGGAAATTATTATTATTCATGAAACTCCTTTTCTAGCCTGCTCATGGTTCTGGGGGCTTGCACATGTGATCTCTTTTAATTCACACAATAATGGGAGATAGGATTTTTTTTCCTCCCCTTTATCCCTTTGCATCTCTGTTCGCCCAATGCCTAAAAATAAAAGGGCTTGGCACAGAGTAGACACTCAAAACATGCTTAGTAAACGAATAAGTGAAGACCTCGAGGTCCAGAGAGGGCATCGCACAGCTAGTAAGCTGCTCAGACAGCGTGGTCGGCCCGTCCGACCCCATAGCCAGGGCTCTTTTCTAGCCTCTGTCCTCGAGCAGTTCACAGGGTAACAGTAGGACGGACCCACGTACTCATCCTACTTGAAGTCCGTTGAGGTTTGCAAGTTTCTTACTCTTTATGTGAGAAACAGGAAAAAGTAACCGTCTTCCCGGCGAGCGTGCGTAAGGGGGCCTCACGGTTGAGGAGGCACTTTCGCACATGCATTCCCATTTTATGCTCCTGGCAACAACCCCTCAAGGGAGGCTACGAGCATGAAATACAAAATAGTGAAGAAAGGCAACCTCGACGGCTCAGCGGTTTAGCGTCTACCTTGGGCTCAGGCCGTGACCCAGTGTCCCGGGATCGAGTCCCGCACTGGGCTCCCCGCACGGAGCCTGCTTCTCCCTCTGCCTGTGTCTCTGCCTCTCTCTGTGTGTCTCCCATGAATAAATAAATAAAATATTTTCAGAAATTAAGAATAGTGGAGAAAGAGCTTGGTAAACTATACAGGGTCCTAAAAATAAATATAAATAATCTTACATAAAACTATTATCAAAAAATGGGTAAATGCCATTTTGCCTGTTTAATAAAGCATTTTCTTTTCCAAAAAAAGGAAAGGCAGCCCAGGTGCTTGGATTGCCAACCATGTCTACAAGCGAGAAAACCGCGGCGTGAGCTCCGGGAGCATACAGGCCCATAGGGGGCTTCCTCCACCCCTCCGGCGGTCGCCGCGGGCTAATGGCTTCTGGCTGGCTCGTGGCCCTGCCAGGGGCTTCGCGTGATGCAGGAGTGAGTGTGGCTGCGGGGGCTGTTTCTCAGCTCCACCCAGGCCAGGACACCTGAGGGCGGATTTCGCACACCCCTGACCTTGCCTCTCAGCCTTTGCTCCCACCGGGAGGGGCCCGCCATCCGGGTTTCATGCCAGAGCCACACCGCGCCTCCCTGTCCCCTGCGCCACAAAGCGACCTCCTCAGCTTGCCCCCCCCCCCCCGACGGTCGCCAGCCGGGTTCTGGAAGCGGCCAACGCGCACCCGTCACCCGGTCCTTCCCTCAGAGAACTCCGGACCCCAGGATTCTGAGCCCTGCGCCCGCTGCTCCTGGGGAGGCGGGAGTGGCCGCCCCGCCATGGGCACTGGGGGCACTGGCCGCCCCCGAGAGCCGCCGAGACCCGACTCCGGAGGCCTTACCTGGTACGAGAGCGCGAGGTAGCTGTGGAGGGCGTCCAGGTTCTCGATGAACTCGGGGAGGTCTCCTCCCAGGGTCCGCAACATCCGATCGTAGCCGGACATCTTACAGAACTTGAAGAAGTGTTCCCCGAAGAGTTTCAGGATGGCTTCCGTGGAGACCCCTGCCGAGCCCAAAGCAAACCCCGAATAAAGGCCCCTGCCGGGTGTTGGCTCCCGGGTGGCCGTCTTCGATTTCCAAAGGGTCCAAGTCCCTCCCGTGTGATGCGCGAAGGGGCGGCTCCCACAGCTTGCGCTTCCTCGACGTAAAATGGCAACGCTGGCACCTGTGTCATCGGGCCACCGGGAGGACCCAGGGCAGCCCGGGCACCTGGAAGGTGCTCACTGGACGCGAGTGTCCCCGAACCCCCACCCCAGTCTCCTGCGGTCGCCACCGGGTGAGTCCCTGGAGGGCCCCGAGGGGACGGGAGGCCGGGTGTCCCTGTGCCGGCCGCGGGTGCCGGCCCCCTACCGCCTTAGACGCCTGGAGGTAGGCGGCCGGGAAGTGACATAAGCTACGTCGGAGAAAGAACTAGTACGGCAGCAACAACACCGACACGCTTGTCCTGACGGACGGGGAGAGGAGGCCGGAGCTGGCGGGGACGCCCCCTTCCTGCCTCATCCTCTCTACACCCCGGTTTCCCTTCGGGGCGCACCTTTCGCCTCGCACCCTCCGCAGAGGCCCCTCTGGATACCCCACGTCGCCCCGAGTACTCTTCCTGAGGGCCGCCTTTTATTGTCTTCCCAACCGTGTGGTAATTCTGGGGGGGCAGTGACCTCATTGCACACATTTCCTGTGCGAGACACCAAGTAGGCGCTTGCTGAATACCCGGGGGGAGAGGCGTGGCCTTAGCGGGGGCTGTGCCATTGCAGTAGCTGGGAGGCGACTGTCCGCTCTATGGAGGTGGCGTCTCTCCCGCTCCTCAAGTACCCGGTAACCCTCAGACGTCCCCCAGTCAAGGTCACCAGTTGTCTTGCTCCGCGCCTGCCAGAACCTTGTGAGCGCGAGTCTTCCGTCACACCTCCTGGTCTGCAGGGGACGCGTGCTGTCACCGAGGCGGAGAGTCGTCGTCGGTTGACCCAGGCCAGGGGCAGAGGCCCTGACTAGATTCGGGCATTTCCGTACCACATCCCGCGGGCCCCGCAGCAGCGAAGAAGCCGCCTGGCCCAGCCGGGGCGAGGGCTGCCGAGGGCGGTCACTGGCTCAGGAGGCAGGGCCCTCCCTGCTCCAGGGGTGGCCCGCTCGCCGCTGGGCGGACTTTCCCTTCGCTACCGTGCGGCGCTGACGGTCACAGTCTTGGGGGCCGAGACCAGGTCTGGAACACGCAGGCTCGCCAGGACCCGCGGAATTCACTGTCCCCATCCTTGGCCGGGGCCGTGAGGGGCCCTGCGATGCGCTGGCCGGGTCCGGGGCGCACGGCGAGGGGCCTTGCGGGTCCGCTGAGCCACCTGAGAGGTCGGGGGAGGTCGGAGCGCTCCCAGCCTGCCTGCTCCCCACGCGCCTGAGCGGCGGATGCCCGTGGCTCAGTGTCCGCGCCCAGACCCTCGGGCAGACCGCTGTCTGGCAACCTGAGCGGTTGGAGTCAGGCCTTATCAGGGGTGCGTCGTACACACGTCCCAAAGACACATTAGCCAGGTCTTTTGAAGGTAGACGAAGCTTGGGACGGCAGGCCGGGGTGGAAATGGCCTGTGCTGCTTGCTTCTGTTGGGGTCCCTGCCTGCGGGGCCATCCCGAACCCGAGGCAGGCAGGCTTGTCTGTAGGAGCCATCAAGAGCCACCTGCCAGGCCCCACGGACCTGACATAAATTCCACTCAAGTCCTCTCCCTTGCTCGTGAGTCCCTGGGAGGAGAGCTCCTGAAACCTCCGCGGACAGGTGTGCAATCATCGCTTCCTCCCCCCCACCCACCTCCTTTTCTGCTAAATCCAGCTCATTCAGGCTGAGAAAAAACAGCTGTGCCGTGTGTCCCACGGACGGGAGTTCCGAGCAGGCGCGTCCTGTTACCGGCCAGGGAAGCCCAGATCCCGGAAGCCCCTTCCTCCCGGGAACACGCACCAGAGGGCTGGGCTGCCTGCGAGCCAAGCAGGTGAGGCAGGGTGACCGTGGCCGTTTATGCCGAGAGACTGTCTGCTGGGCCTTCCTCTTAAATCTGAAAACCTACAAAAATTCATGAAGATGCTTGTTCCAGACCCTCAGTGTTTGGTTCCTGGGCCCCGGCTCCATTAGTAGGAGAGGACGGCGGGCTCAGAGAGTACCGGCTGCTTGAACTCAGATCTCGGGCTTGGGTGCGGCGTCCCCCAACCGTGCTGGGTTTGGGGCTGCTCCTCGGATTCTGGGTTGAAAATGCTCGTCCAGCAGAGGACCAAAGGTCACTGTTAAACACCAGTGCCTGTGTTGTGTTGTTACAGTTTCATCTCAGTGAATTTAGGATTCCCTGAGTTCTCTGAGTCACGGGGAGGTGGGAATATATAGGAAATGGCAAGAAAGTGTGAAAACAGAAAGAGCACAGGTGGCTTACCATCCCTTTGGGTAGTGCAAAGGGGAATCTGTAATAGCTTTGCATTTTATCTTTTGTGCAACAAATCAGGGGGATAAGGAAATATGCATTTATCTGCTTATTTGTGCAGAATTAAACACCAGAAGGCTAAACCAGGGACGCTTGAGGTTGCTCACCTACAGGGCATTAGTGGGAACGAGGTAGAAAGGTCAGAAATATTGTGAAGGGAGGAGGACTGACACTGCTCTGAGCACAACTTTTTGGACAGGTCTGGTTTGGGGAATCGTGTTAATGACTCATATGCTGAAAATAAAATAAATACAGTCAGCAAGGCCAGGGAAAGTCCTGAGATAGAATACAGACAGAAACAGGTTAAGAGAACTATTTGAACAGAACAGTTCCGAATAATCTCATTACCCAGGGGAAGAAATAACCCAGCAACATGTGAGCATAGTCTTTACACTGCTCTGTCTTCAGACTAAACCCAGAAACAAGCAAACAAAAACTTCAAACAAATATTTGACGGTGGTCAGTAGGCCTCCTTCCCCCAGTGGGGCTGGTAAGCAGTTCTGAAGTCACATTCTGACCATCTGAGGATTAAGCACGTGAGTAGATCTATTGTGGATAGTGGGGAACAGGTTCCTGCTGTGTGAGAAGGAGGTTGGAGTGATGGAAAGAACAGATCGAAGTCTGGGGGGGGGGGTAGAAACCTACCATCGTGAGACCACAAGGCCCATCGAGGTGTTGGACGGATGGACCGGACGGTACGGACGGATGTGTGTGCGCGTGTGCGTGTGCACGTAGGCTCCTTGGAGAAATGGCAGATGTCAGGGCTGGGCAGGCAGGGAAAGGATAAGACGAGCCTATAACATCTAGTCATGCCAGAAAGTAAAGAAGAAAAGCGTAATGATGCGTCTAAAGGACGCAGGGGCCGGCCCAAGGGGACCCCCACTGGCTACATCCTGGAGAATTTGAGCATCAAAAGACATAATGGAAGCAGAGGGTCACCACCTATTTAAAACAGTAAGAATCAAGAGTTCACATCGACATAAATAAGCGGGAAAGGGGAAATCCCTCCTTAGCGTAGAAATCCAACTCATAAACCTAAGAGGAGCAGTGTACTCTCTGGCCACCACCCTATTATGGCTTCGGGGCAAAAGTCACCGCGGAGTCCTAGAACCGGGCAGGGAGGAGTTTGGGACGCAACGAGATACTTGTATGGTCGTAAAGCCTCTTCTCAGGGGGAGACAGGAACCACGGAGTAGAGGGACCTGGAGCTCCCCCTCCACCGGGCTTCACGTCGATAGGGGGACGAGGGGACAAAGGCCCGTCCTCCGCCCGCCGCTGCGACGAGCTGGGAAGGACTAAATCCCACTTCTCTGGTCTTCCTGCCAAGGGAGCACAACCTGAATGGGGTCAAGAGGAAATACGAGACATCCCGAGTGACGGGGCTTTCTCCAAAGTAGCTGAGCAGACCTTGCCGGGGACACCAGCGTTCTCAGACACAAAGACAGACAGACGGCGGAACCGTCCCGGAAGTCAGGGGATGGGAGACCTGCGACAGCTGCCAAGATGCAAGGTTTTCTGTTGTCCTAGAGGATGTCACGGGGACAATGGGAAAGATCCCAGTAACGTCCGTCGATTACGTAGCAGCCCTGCTGTCCTCACGGAAGGGCACTCGGAGCGCTAAGGAGCCATCCTCCCTGCAGCTTTCAAAGGACGGTTCAGGGGCGAGGACAGAGCCAATCGAGTAAGACGTTGACATTCGGGGAACGGGGAGGAAAAGTATATGGGAATTCTTTGCACTACTCTTGCAAACCTCCTGTGAGTTTGAAATCATGTCAGAGTAGAAGTTTTTGCTGATTGTCCCGAAAAGACCTTAGCAGATCCAGTATAAAACGACCACAAAGACCACCCTGACCGACCCGTGGCCAGCCGAGATACAGCTGGATTCCGGCCTCTGTAATATCGTGAATTTTGTTAGGTGTAATCAAGGCATTAGGATCATGCTTTAAAATGTCTTTATCTTGTTAGGGACTCGTACTGAAATATTTATGGCTGAGATTGTGGGGAACCTGAGATTTGCTTTAAGACATTCCAGCGAAAACAAAACCAGAGAAAGGGTGGAGGGACGACCAGAGAGACGGAGCAAGACTGGTGAACTATTCATCATCACGGAGGCTGGGTGAGGGCACGAGGGCGTGAGCACACACCCTTCCCACTCGTGTTTCTGTGAGACGTTCTGATAAGACGGTGGTTGTCTGAACAGAAGGCTGCTTTGTTGGCAGGAGGTTACCTGTCGGGAGGCGTCCGTTTTCCGGACGCTTGGCTTCCCAGAAGACATACGGAGCCTTTTAAGTTGCTTTTCCAATTGGAATGAAGTCTAAGCTCAACTCTTCTGGCCCTTTGGCACCGGCAGGGAAGGCTTACTTCTTCCTGGGTGACGGCTCAGGGGACCGCCAGGAGCCGAGGGGGGCTGTCTGTCTGCGGTTGGGGTGGGGGTGGGGGGCAGGATGCCTGCTGAGCCCTGAGTGAGGGCCGACAGGAGCCACGCAGCCACGCTGGGCCTTCGGGCCACCGGGCGCACGTCCCAAGACCCCCACCCGCCGCCCACCGCCCACCGCCCAC